CTAATCTTTCTCTGGCAAGAGGGGACCTGAAACACGGTCGATGTATTGACGGTTATGTAACGGTTTAGAAATGTAAGCTGCAGAGTTCTTTAAAGATGATTTTGACAATGTATCTGTTCGTGCCAAGGGAACGCGCTGATGCCCTCGCCAGGAGAGGCGGAGGGACGTTCGGGAAGCTTGCTACATCCTGCAGCAGATGAGAAGAGTAGCATGGGCTAGCCTACTAGGAGGTCAACAGACGAGGAAAGCAGTCATACAACCAAGGGAAGATTTTATCAAGTCAACAAACACATGATCTGACAAAGTTGCGGTCGCTGCAATAGCATTGGAAGAAGTAAATTAAGAACATCACATTGACTTATGAGAGGGTAGCATTTCTCTTTATCTTTATCCATTATTTTTAGTTGACGGGACCCTACTTCCGAAAACAGCTGAAACCATAAAAATATCTTCATGGACATCTTCAGTGATGGAAAACCGCCTAAAACCGCGAAAACCGCGTCTACTGATATGATATTCTGATATTCTGCTGTTTGAAGGACTAAAAGGTGCCACCTGATTAGACGTCGATGGCTGCGTGGCTGAGAAGGGGACGACGGGAGCAGGGGGAGGAAAGGGCTTGAAGGCACGAGACAGAATACCACTTTTCAAGGCGTCTGATTATTCAGTGCGAAAAAATATGAGAATGCTGCAAGAAAAAAAAAAGTTTTCTGAGAAGTATGTGAAGAGTGCAAGCGAAGATACAGGAAAGATTTTTCACGGTGAACAGATATGTCTAGCGAGGGAGGAGATAAGAGCACAGTCGGGAGGGAATAACAGGCCAAGGTCGGTGAGTGGGTGTGAGGATAGGGGGTAGGACGGCCTATTGAGGAATGAGGAAGAGGCGTAGAGAGGATACAGGGAGGATGTGCGACTTAGATGCGTCTGTAAGGAAAATTCATAAAAATAAAAAAGTTGTATGAGAGGAGGATCTCGATGCACGGTGTGAACAATACGAAGCAAGACCGGATGGCAGATTTACACCTCGGTCCGAGCAGCTGACTTTCTCCTTGGGCAGGACGCAGGTGCTGCCTTCCTTTCTCTTTTCACACAGGAATAAACATCCGTCCTCCAAGGAAACCGCCGCATAAAAGGGGCACGTGCCTAAGACGAGGGAGAGACGCGGCAGACAGGCCAAGCCACACAGGGCCCAGCTCCACCACCTCGTCCTCCACCCGGGGACACGGGGGTCATCTGGGGGTCTCATATCTACCTGCACAAATAAACCAGCAAGCTAAGATCCATTTCATTGACCGCCCAAGACCATCTCTGTTACGCTTACACACGGGAAGGGTGCATCGATGAGGAGAGGAGAAAGGAACTCCCCTTGAGGATGTGCTGGTAGGATATGGTGATGGTGTAGCCTAGAGTCACAGTCGTTTCTCCAGTAGCAATGACGAAGTACAAATGATATCCTACAAAAGAGGTGACAGTGAAAGACAAGTCCGCGCGATCGCTATTCTTCCACACCATAGAAAAAGGAACATGTTATGGGGCATGCTATTGAAACCTAACTCTTGCGATTCTGCAATATGTTAACACTGTCGCTTCCTTTTCGGCGTCTTTTTCTCCCGTCTTTTCTGTCTCTGTTGTGTGACCTCTGTTTATCTCTCTCTCTCCTTCACACGTATCTCTATCTTGGCCTTCCCCTCTCAGCATCTCCCTCTCTTTCTCTCTCTTCTCAATGCTAGTCCTTATCACAAGATACTGTAATTGAAAACAAACAAACATATAATCACAAAATGAACGCTTTGACTAATGTAGAATTCCAATAGCAATTATAATATGTGGCCCCTTTCCCTGTGTCATGGGTTAAATTGTTAGGAGTATTTTCGATGAGTCACCGTGACAATCCACCTTCGGGAAAGTCACGATGAGTTTGCGTTTTCGAGAGAAAACAATCATTTAGCGAAGAGAGGCGAGGGGTTCCTACATAATGTAAATACGCATTGCATCTGTGACTAACTTTAAAATCATTGCAAATTCATGTTTGAATTTTGTGCATAAATACCGTAAAACGGAAATAAAACAGCATCGAGAAGGGACGGGAATGGAAGCGGTGGAATTTCTAAAATTGCTGTATATGGTAACGTCCAGTGTTACCATGCCGTCGCAGTGATGAGGAAATAACATGCTGTATCATTTTATGCGTCTACTGCACTCATAATCATGCAAAGGGCAAATGGGAAACTAACAGAAACAGAGGGATGATGTTAGGCGTAAGTCACTAGTCATCGTACGTGTGGCAGCGCTGTTGTTTCAACGTTGTAACAGGGTTATCTATTTCGATATAATCTGGGGAAGTCTGTCAGTACATTCTTCGAGTGATTAATTTTTCAATATAGAGATTGGTAGATAGCACATTTTCTTACGCACACATGCACTCAAACACACACATATATAATATATGTATATATATGCATATGTATATATTTATACATATGTGTGTATGTACGTACATCTATCTACCTATATATATATATATATATATATATATATATATATATATATATATATATATATATATATATATATCTCTGTGTGTGTGTGTGTGTATGTATATATATATATACATATATATATATATGCATATACATATATATATATATATATATATATATATATATATTTATATATATATATATGCATATATATATATATATATATATATATATATATATATATATATATATATATATATATATATATATATATATATATATATATATATATATATGCGTATATATGTGTATATATATATATGTGCATTTATACAGTATATTTGTGTGTATGTGTGTGTGTGTGTGTGTATGTATGTGTATGTGGGTGCGTATATATATATATGTGTGTGTATATGTATATATATGTATAAACTACCCGCGCACGAATTGCACCATTGCACGCTATTCGTATAACATACCCTATTGAAAAGATAGTTTAATCAATCATAATTACAAGAAATAGTAATGAATAATTAAATCACAGAATGCACACACTCCCTCACAAAGTATTTGTTGTTGCCATATTTCACCGTCTGACATACCGCGCGTGTAACAACCTCCGGGCTAGTACAGTGGTAACGTGTTGGCCTCTCATCTGAGGGGTTCGCGATATGTATGTATGTATGTATGTATACATATATATATATTTATGTATGCATGTGTATATATATATACGCATATATATATACATATACACATATACATATATATACACATACACACACACACGCATATATATATGGTAGAAAAACCCACACTGCAACAACTAGATTTATTGAAAATAAGACTACGGTTTCGAAATCCATCTTCCATCTTCAGGACTAAAGAGGAAAAGTAGAGGAAAAGGTATGTTTGTGTTTACAATTGCGGAATTATATTTCAGTACACTTGCTGCGTCCTAGTTTTGTACATCTGGCAGCCAATTCGATGTAGACATAGCGTATTATTTTTATGAAAGCGAATTTGATGAGTTATTTATATCTAATGTCGGAAATTATGTATAATTACATATATATGTATATATATATATATATATATATATATATATATATATATATATATATATATATATACATATATATTGTGTATGAGAGAGAGAGAGAGAGAGAGAGAGAGAGAGAGAGAAAGAGAGAGAGGCCCTGAGTTGCGAGGAGGCTCCAACATGGCAGATGTCACCGATAGCGTTTCTACTACGCACGAATTTTAAAAGGAACATCAAGTTGGCAGTCCGGCGTTTGTTCACAGACACACATTGCGTGTATGTGTCCACTTACATCGTATATACTTTTACCGTGGTAGTAAGAAGATATCAGAGGCAGAACCATAGAACTCTAGATAGTCTAGAATGATAGGTCAGGGTCGGGGCCGGAGTCACGATGCTCCAAGCGGCCGAGAATAGAGAGGAAGGCCCACGTGTTATAGATTGCCTGATGTGACCAAGTGCCTCGTTGCTCTCAGAGATTGCAATGTGACGAAAGCATCGAGAGCCATATAAACCTTGAATAGGATAGAAAAAGATCAGAGAAAGAGACGAGAGAGAGAGGGGCGGGGTGGAAGAGATGGTAATTTTAATAATAATCAATAATAATCTAGTTTTATTCCGTGTCAGCAAGACTGCTAGACGAGAACACTACTGCTGCACCACACAGGCAGAGGGAGGTTCGAAGAGAGAGAGGGGAGGAAGAGAGAGAGGGGGGAGGAAGAAAGAGAGGGGGGAAGGAAGGGAGAGGGCGTACGGGAGAGAGAGAGGAAAGGAAGAGAGGGAGAGAGAGGGAGTGAGTGAGGAAGAGAGAGAGAGAGGGAGTGAGGGAGGAAGAGAGAGAGGTAGGGAGGAGAGAGGAAGGGTATGTAAGACTCATCTAGTAATGAATCACAATTTGTGCCCAGTTTGGTAATGAAAATTTAAAAACATAATTATCATTTGTTTGATGTAATCATCAAATTCACTCATTATACTCGCTAGGTACTATGTTTGACGGGGGCCTGCTTCAGGCTTTTGAAATAACATGACTTGTGCTTATGTTAAATACGCACGATGTGTTCCTAATTTCAAGCTTAGGTAAAAAAATTAACTAAAACGAGACTTGTGGTGCAGCCACAATTATATGGCAACATAAGTTAGCACTGTAAGTAATCCACTATCTTCCAATATATGTATGATAATGTAATAAGATTACGCCACATGCCCCATCGCAAGACATAGAACAGTGCCTTCTTTCGAAGGACTTAGGGTTTGGGCAGATGGAGAAAACTGATCTGATTGGATGCTATTCCTAACCTCGGACTTTGGGTAGGATTCGAACTCACGCTCTGGATGACCCTTCTGGTTCCAAGCTGCGTGCGTTACTGCTGCACCAAGTCGGCTTCCTTCCACTTTCTATATTTTGTAAATGAAATTAAATTGAATTGCACTTTTCTACAAGTTCCATATACCCACTCTAAAAGTCTTCACAATCCACTGATTTCCTCTTGATTTATATGATTTTTACTCACCAGGATGATTGGAGTAACATGGCTGCTGTTGGGTGCGGCGCTAGCATTATTTTGGGCATATTCGTGGTGGAAACACAGATTCTGGGCAAAGAAAGGTGTGCCCACTCCGCCTGTGGTCCCCTTCATCGGTCATGCGCATAAATTGCTTCTCCCAGAGAAAAGATGTAACTTTGAAAAAGAGGTAATGTAATGTTTTCTATAAATTATTGTGTTATTGAGCATCAGACGCCACAGTGATTAGTAAGACATATTTGTATGCTTCTTTATAGATTTTAGTCTCGTGATACATCCCTGCACTCTTAACAGGTCTATTTCAACTATAATGGATCAAAGTTATGTGGTGTCTACTCCTTCCACGAGCCCATGTTACTGGTGGGCGATCCAGAACTCATGAAACACATTTTCGTGAAGGACTTTGACCACTTTATGGACAGAAGGACACTAGATATGCCGAACGAGAAGGACAAAGTAATGGCCAACATGTTGTCTATGAAGACAGGCGAAGAGTGGAAGAAACTGAGAGCCATCATGTCTCCCACTTTCACTTCAGGCAAAATGAAGGGGATGTTCCCGCTCGTGTGCAAAAAGGCCGACGAACTCGTCTCCTTCTGCCTGAAGGAAGCACGCACAAAGCCCTTTGTCGACATGAAGTATAATTTTGGCCGCTTCACCATGGACACAATTGCTTCCTGTGCCTTTGGTATTGAATGCAATTCACTAGGGGATGAAAAGCCAGAATTTGCTGAAAAGGTTGAGACTTTTTTCAAAATTACACCGGGAATGATAGGGAGACTTCTTTTCCTGAGCATATTTCCTAAACTTGCCAACCTACTTGATATGAGATTTTCAGTACCAGCAACTGATTTCTTTACGGAAGTTGCCCGTGAGACCATGCGAGCGAGGCAAAGTGGAAATAAAAGAGGAGACTTTTTGGATCTCTTGCTGGAGGCAGAAGTCTCTACTGGCGATGCCGAAGGAAACACGGAAATGCAAGACGACAGTAAATCATCCAAGTCTAAGCAAGGTGAGAAGCAACTTACAACTAAATGGATTCAATCATACAATTTACAGTGTTTACTTCCTGCAGTTTAAGACATATACCTATCATTTACAGTGTTATCATACAACTCACCTCATTTACACCAAGTAGTGATTAAAATGCAGACACTTTCCATTTTGGCAGCACTGGATGAACTTACCATCATTTCCCAAAGTGTCATGTTCCTGGTCGCCGGTTACGATACAACAGCCTCCACGCTGGCCTTTGCGTCCATCCTACTTGCCAAGCACCCAGAGATCCAGCAACGCCTTCGTCAGGAGATCAGTGAAATGGTCGAGGAACACGGCGACATAACCTACCAGGGGATTATGGAAGCCAAATATCTTGATGCTTGTGTCATGGGTAAGTCTTCCAGATTAACTTCTGCTTCGATGTCTTAAATGGAAATGCTGATTGTCAGATTTTTAGAATTATTATTGTCAGGTAGTAACGTACTCGGTCCATCTTCAGGAAAGAGAAAAAAGACAAACAGGTAACTTCCCCGGACTCAGTAATACTCCGATTCGCCAAATCTTCACACACACACATATATATCATTCATATACAAAACATAAGTGTCAAACGTCAGCTACTGAGAAAAAATAGAAAAAAATAGAATCGAAGAATTGAACCATGCCAGAATCTGGATGAGTTGCCAAGTCTTCCTTTCCCGAGCGCGATTAACCTTTCCATTTCTCTCTTCACAGAAACCCTTCGTATGTACCCACCGGGGCTTTTCCTGGAGCGCAAGTGTATAAAGGAATACAAGTAAGACCTTTTCAAAATACACCATATCTCAAGCTTTTGTCAATATAGGCCTACTTAGTTTTACCCTTAGCATGCATTCTTGTGTGTGAATTCTAATTTGGTTTTATACTTTACATGCATTCCATACATATATGTATAGTTATACTTGTGAGTGCATATATGTATATATATGAATACATATATGTGTGTGTATTTATGTGGATGTATATGTATATATATGAATACATATATGTGTGTGTATTTATGTGGATGTATATGTATATATATGAATACATATATGTGTGTGTATTTATGTGGATGTATATGTATATATATGAATACATATATGTGTGTGTATTTATGTGGATGTATATGTATATATATATATATACATATATATTGTGTATGAGAGAGAGAGAGAGGGAGTGAGGGAGGAAGAGAGAGAGGTAGGGAGGAGAGAGGAAGGGTATGTAAGACTCATCTAGTAATGAATCACAATTTGTGCCCAGTTTGGTAATGAAAATTTAAAAACATAATTATCATTTGTTTGATGTAATCATCAAACTCACTCATTATACTCGCTAGGTACTATGTTTGACGGGGGCCTGCTTCAGGCTTTTGAAATAACATGACTTGTGCTTATGTTAAATACGCACGATGTGTTCCTAATTTCAAGCTTAGGTAAAAAAATTAACTAAAACGAGACTTGTGGTGCAGCCACAATTATATGGCAACATAAGTTAGCACTGTAAGTAATCCACTATCTTCCAATATATGTATGATAATGTAATAAGATTACGCCACATGCCCCATCGCAAGACATAGAACAGTGCCTTCTTTCGAAGGACTTAGGGTTTGGGCAGATGGAGAAAACTGATCTGATTGGATGCCATTCCTAACCTCGGACTTTGGGTAGGATTCGAACTCACGCTCTGGATGACCCTTCTGGTTCCAAGCTGCGTGCGTTACTGCTGCACCAAGTCGGCTTCCTTCCACTTTCTATATTTTGTAAATGAAATTAAATTGAATTGCACTTTTCTACAAGTTCCATATACCCACTCTAAAAGTCTTCACAATCCACTGATTTCCTCTTGATTTATATGATTTTTACTCACCAGGATGATTGGAGTAACATGGCTGCTGTTGGGTGCGGCGCTAGCATTATTTTGGGCATATTCGTGGTGGAAACACAGATTCTGGGCAAAGAAAGGTGTGCCCACTCCGCCTGTGGTCCCCTTCATCGGTCATGCGCATAAATTGCTTCTCCCAGAGCAAAGATGTAACTTTGAAAAAGAGGTAATGTAATGTTTTCTATAAATCATTGTGTTATTGAGCATCAGACGCCACAGTGATTAGTAAGACATATTTGTATGCTTCTTTATAGATTTTAGTCTCGTGATACATCCCTGCACTCTTAACAGGTCTATTTCAACTATAATGGATCAAAGTTATGTGGTGTCTACTCCTTCCACGAGCCCATGTTACTGGTGGGCGATCCAGAACTCATGAAACACATTTACGTGAAGGACTTTGACCACTTTATGGACAGAAGGACATTAGACATGCCGAGCGAGAAGGACAAAGTAATGGCCAACATGTTGTCTCTGAAGACAGGCGAAGAGTGGAAGAAACTGAGAGCCATCATGTCTCCCACTTTCACTTCAGGCAAAATGAAGGGGATGTTCCCGCTCGTGTGCAAAAAGGCCGACGAACTCGTCTCCTTCTGCCTGAAGGAAGCACGCACAAAGCCCTTTGTCGACATGAAGTATAATTTTGGCCGCTTCACCATGGA